TGCCTTTATTAGAAAGACTAGGTTTTGAGCTGATCAATGCATGTAGTTTTATGATAAGACATATTTTCTCAAATATATCAAATTTGTAGGAAATCACGGGCAATAGTCTTACAATGAGGCACCTATCTTAGTTTTAAAAAGATGTTGATTTTATCATTGGACAACTCAAGTTTGTAGTTCGTCAATGCCCATAGTCCTATGATGAGTCACTTATCTTCCCTTGAAAAAAATGCTAACTACCCTTTATCAAATAAATTAAGTATGAAGGCAATCAAGGCATGTGATTCTATGATAAGACACTTGTCTTTCCTTAAGAAAGGTGTTGAATACCCTTGTCAAATTGACCACATTTGAGGTAATAAAAGGCACATGGTTAAAAAATCAAGAAATATCATTTCCTTAAGATTCTCCTCCTCCCTTAAGTTTGAGGTGCTAAGGGTGCTTTCCACATTTTTTTTTTATTTTCTTATATTTTCTACGAGGTTACTTTATGAGAAAGGAGTAAACTGCTGTGGAAGAGATAACATTTGGTATTGTAAGTTCTTACTTTCAGTTTTACTTGCAACGATAAGTTTAATGGAATGTTTTTCTTACATTCTTTCCAACATGCATATCTAAATTTTCTTTCATGCTCCTGTGATTCATGGCATATGATTTTTGTGGTTTTCATGGATTATCTCTTTCATCATTTTCCTGAGAAATCGGGACTTTTTCGTTGTTGAGTTACCCATAAAGTTTCATTTACTCCTAATCTTATTAATCAGGAAGTTAACATATTTTGTGATCTGTGACTCTTATCAGGTGAACAGAGGAATGAAATGGTTAACCATAAAATCTATATAATAATATACATATTTTATTTGAGTTTTATTACCTAGAAAGAAGTTCATAACAAATTTGTGTGATGTCATAGAGATTGAGAAAGCTTCCACTTCATGGATTCTAGCATTCATTTGACCCAAACATAGGCATAATGACAATTTTCTATCCCTGTTGACAACTGTCACGTGAAGAAAAATCTAAGAAAATTATGAACTACCACATCACCTAAGTCACAAACCTTGAAGAATCATAAGATTTTCCTATACCTGTTTTTCTATATTTTCTGAATTTGTTATCTTTTCTTTTCATTTTTAAAAGGATTTTAAGAAAGCATCTCTTATTGTGATCATGCTAAACTAGGTTTAGAGGCATAGTAAACTTGAGTCCCCCGCCTAAGAAAATTAGTAACACTTTTCTCGTGATATCAATATGTGGTATTTTTTAACCACATTATTACTTGACACATACACTTTCATTCTGCGACCGACTTATTTCATAGTTTGTTTTGACGTGTCATTAAGGCGGTGCATTTGCTGGAAGTAGACCGATTTTCAATCAAACTAAAGTGAACTGGGTCACCAACATAACCTGATCAACAAATATAGTCTAAGAAAAGTTTGATGTTTGCTTGACCTCATTTGCAATGTTAAATGAAGAAAAAAAACCAATGTCTGTTTGAACCATAATTCAAATTGAAAGAGTAAAACATAGTCTCTATATGACCATATTTGAAACTATAAAGAAGAGGAGTTTAACGTCTGGTTGACTTTATTCACAATAATAAATAAAGAACACAATTTGAAGTCTGTCAGACATGTCCATCAAAATGATAGAACAATGTAGTTTTTACTGATCATATTCATAATAGTAGAGAAAAAGTTTGACGACTTCCTAACCATATTTGGAATGGCAGACACAGAATGAAAACTAGTGTCTGCTGACTATATTCACAACAACAGAACAAAAGTAGTCTCTTCTTGACCATATTCACAATAGTAAAGGAAACATTCAATTTCTAATTGATTGTATTCATAATGGTAGAAAAAGAATGATAACTAATGTTTGTCTTATCATATTCACGATGACAGAACAATAGTAGTCTCTACTTGACAATATTCACTACAACAGAGATGAAAGCTATATTATCTCTTGTAATCTCAACAATCTATTATGCTCCCACATAAAAAAATTGACTAAAGTGTTAATATGATTCTCATCGTTAGGAATAATTATTCTCTATTTAATCTCATTCAAAATGATAGAGATAAAAAATCTAATACCTGCTTGGCCTCATTCACAATAACAGATGTGGGAGAGAGCTCAATGTCTGCCTGATTTTATTTTCAATGGCAGATTAAGAATAAAAACTAATGTTTGTCTGCCACATTCACAATGAAAAAACAAACGTAGTCTATACCTGACCATATTCGCAGCAGTGGACAAAAAGTGTGATGTCTACCTGATTGTATTCATAATGGAGGATGAAAATAAAAACTAATTTCGAGATTAATTATAAGTAATCTCAACGATTATAGATGCTCTCATACACATAACTGACTAGTAAGTCAATATAGTTCTTGTCGAGTTTTGTATTGAACAAGTGATCAGATAGACAAATAGCCAAAGGTGGCTTGATCAAATCTTCAGCTAGATAAACAAGCCAGTCTAATAACACATGATGCTCAAATAAGTATTCTAGCACCATAATGCAAAAATTTGTTACAATGATCTCGATTTATTGAGTTTCTCGAAAAAATTGGCCATCGTTAGCACTACTATCCTAACACTAAGATGTCAGTCTTTTGGCACTGTTGTATCAAAAATTCATGTTGCATCGCCAAGCTCTTGAGTTTACTCCAAAAGCTGTATCATAACTAGAGTTGTGGTGATGCTAACCTAGTGCTGAGGCACTAATCTTCTAGCAATGTGGTTCTCCAATTCTACATTATAGTGCCAAACTCTCAAATTTTGTTTCAACTAACACCATCCTACTTTATGATTTGCATGGCTAGTGTTGTGGCACTATCCTTAAGAATTTACTTTTATCCATTAAACTTCCACCAATTTGATTTCTTGTAAAAAGAACTTAACTAGTTTAACAAACATACAAAATAACATAATTTTATGCATATTTTAAATATATTTTTCACTCAACTCACTCCATATTTACTCTACTTAATAAGATAACTAGGTAGACTTATTTAGAGCCTTTTATATAACAACTCAATGTGACCCATCCATCAAAGATGAAGTTGGGAGTGGCTTATATGCAAGTGCCAAAGATGGCCTAATACATCTTATGTCAATCCTTTATTCGATTGTTTCTTACAATTTTTCCAATTTTCTTAAAGAAAACCTTTCATATGATATATATGTCTACTTATTTATACCTAAGGTGCTAGAAGGCAAGCCCAAGATACATATTATTATCTAAAGTTATTTATTATTTGATAGTGAGAAGTCATCAAGCTTTTCTCATCATATGCTCTTTATCTTACCTTTCCTTTATCCTCTTATTCATAATTTTTCTTAAAGTAAGGTTCACGTGTTGTCTATAAATAAATTTAAATTTAATAGAAACCATTATTGTAATGAATAGTATAAAAAAATACATATATACATTCAATGAATATTGTAAATGTTATATTGAATTGAAATTGACTTAAGAGTTTATATTCTTTATAATTAGTTTAATACCTTTATTCGTTCTTATTCTTTTACTGATTTTATCAAAATTTAGTTATTTGATGATGTTATTTTATTATTTTTGTTTCTATCATTCAAGTTTATCCCACCATATCGTAATTTACTTCTCTCCCATCTTATATCCATCACTTTATAATTCAAAATTATAGTTAGTTGAAATTATTTTGATTGGATTAGACATTATTTCTTTTAATTTCACTTAATAAATTATGCATCACTTGTATGTTTTATGTCATTCCTTTTAAATTTATGATAGTTTTTTGAAATTGAACAATAAATCCTCACACTAAAGATATTTTTGATTCTCAAGGTAAAATTTAATAAAATAGAGTGACGCGCCAATCTTATTTAAGAATTAATTGATTTAAGTACATACTAAAAATTCCATTTCATTTATATATATAATGTATAATTCTTTTTTATTTACATCTAAATCAAATCAAAATATAAGCATAGCAATATTAATTTCATTTATAAGGTTAGTAGTATTTTCTTATGTGCTTTAGAAATTAACTTGTTTTGTAAGTAAAAGAAATATCATAAATTATTAAATATGTTATAAAATGAAGTGGTACACAAAAAAAAACAAATACACACACTCGTGTAATAATAAAAAGTGATAATTTGACTTCATATTTCTCATATACTTGTTGAGCATATACCCCTATTGTCCATTATTTAGAAAAACATGCTTGAAAGTTTATTTTGAACAAAAAATACACATAGTATATGAAAATTTGAGTAACCCTTGATTCAAGACTTCAACCATTTTTCAAGTAAGAAAGCTACACAAAAGTCTATCTTCCAACAACTTTTTTATCTCTCTCAATTTTATAGTTAATGTAACTGGCTTGCAATAACGACTGACAATGAGAGTCATTTTTTCCCAACTATTTTTTATTCAAGGCTAATAATATTATACTTTTTATTTTTTAAATTTAAATGTATTTATCAAAAAATTATTGCAGGTCATAATAAAAGGAGAACTTGAGGTTTAAGAAATACAAAGACTACGACTCAAAATAAGAGTCCTAAACTTTTTTCACACACTAATCCCTAGAATCTAAATCCTCTTTAAACAATATTGTTTGTTTTAAATTTATTTGAATAAGATTCAAACTAAGTTCAAATCATATATGAACCTTTTTTAAGACCTTTTCAAACGAATTTTTAATGTTCAAGCTATATTTAATTTTTATTCAATTTTTTTTTTTGAAGTTTGCTCGAACCGTGTATAAAGTAATAATCTATTGTGCTACAGTTATTATAATTGTAGTTTATCGTATTGATTTTATATTCTTTTGTATGATAATTATTGTGATTACACTATGTTGTATCAATTTTATAATATGCTATATTATGCCCATTATGGTGTCACTTTGAATTTTTTTAACAAATTATGAGTATTCTGTTGTCCAAAATAGCTTGGAACTTTAGCGGAATAATTGTGGACAAATGTTTTAAATGGCAAACTTTCCTTCCATGCTTCTGAGGTTCACTTCCTACTTCCTAGACGGTTATCAATGCCCGTGTTATCGACATTCCGATCCCTCAGGAGAACTGCCGCCACCGCAACTGCTGGCGACTCTGCGATCTCATGGCTCTCCGCCCCCGGAAACCCCCTCATGCGTTGGCCCCTGCCGCAACCTCTGCCAAAATCACCACCCCAACTCTCCGTTGATCCGCCGCCCTCTGCACCGTTAGCAGGAGAAAAACTCTCCGAGGTCCTTGAAACTGCCGTCTCCATCTCCTCTCTAATACGTTCAACTCCACTATCCGACATCAAAGCCACCCTCATACGGTCCGGCCTGGTTCCTCCCACCACCAACCTCTCCTCTATCATCGACCTACTCATTCGTTCTCACTCCTTCGACCTCGCTTGGTCTCTCCTCCTCTCTCATCCTCCCTCCTCTCTCTCAACCTTCTCCTCCCTCTTCCGCCGTTATTCTCGCACCCAAAAGCCCTCCGCTGCCATTCGCACCTTCCTCTTCCTCCGTCGCTGCCCACACTTTTTCACCACCACCATCGAGGATGACCACGACACCCTTGAGCTCCTCCTCGATGCTCTCTGCAAGGAGGGTCATCCAAAAGCTGCTGCAGACTTCCTTATCCAATTGAAATCAGAAGACCCCAATTTGATTCCCTCCGTCCGCTGCTACAATATCCTCCTCCATGGCTGGTTCCGCCAACGGAAGCTAAAGAAGGCTGAGAGTTTATGGTCAGAGATGCTCCGTGATGGGATATCGCCTACTGTTGTCACCTACGGCACTGTTATCGAGGGTTTATGCCGCCTGCGGCGACCAGATCAAGCTATGGAGCTTCTGGAAGAGATGCGGGGCTCAGGCATCGATCCTAATCTCCTTACCTGCAACCCTATTGTAGATTCCTTGTCAGAGTCTGGGAGATTTAAGGAGGCTCTCGGATTTGTTGAAAGGTTCCCTCTCCTTGGCCTTTCGCCCAGTATCTCCACTTATAACTCCTTGATAAAAGGGTTCTGCAAGAATTCTGATCTTAAAGGAGCTAGCAATGTTCTAAAGACGATGATTGGCAGAGGCATTCTGCCGACAACGACTACATATAATTATTTTTTTAGATATTTTGCAAAATTTCGCAAGATTGAAGAGGGTATGAATCTTTATAACAAGTTGGTTGAATCTGGGTATGCTCTGGACCGGCTCACATATCAACTACTTATCAAAATGCATTGCGAGGTGGAAGGGTTGGATCTTGCAGTGCAGCTGATCAAGGAGATGCATAGGAAAGGGTTTGAGGTGGACCTGGCAATGAGCACCATGCTTGTGCATTTGCTATGTCGGTTAAAAAGGTATGATGAGGCCTGTAATGAATTTGAGGAAATGTTTAGTAGGGGAATTGTACCACAGTACATCACTTATCAGAAGTTATGCAAGGAGTTGAAAAGATTGGGTTTGGTAAAAATGGAGGAGAGATTATCAGCATTGATGTCATCAGTCCCACACTCTATGAAATTACCTGCAACTTATAGGGACAAAGATGGAGGTGAGGAGGTAGAAAGGCGGGAGTCTATACTTAAGAAGGCTCAGGCAATGTCAGAGGCTCTTAAGGGAATAAAAGATAAGGATCAAATGACCAAATTGAAGACCTTTGAGGAAAGCATGGTTGAGAAAGCCAATGAATTGACGACAAATATTAGAAGGAGAGTATATGCAGTAAAAATTTAGTTCTTCACTCTTCAGTAGCTTTGAAGATTATAACTGTTGGCACTTCCGCTCACAACAGACTTTATGCATCCTTTTACTGCAAGCAAACGATGCTGCAATGGTATGCTTTGCCACATGGAGTTTCATTTAATCTTCTAATTTTCTTATACAATCAATTTATGTGATTTTTTAAGCTGGAACTATTGCTGTTGTAAAATGATTGATGGTTATTCTGGTTTGTGGGTAACTAGAACAATATGTTTTTGCACAATAATTCATTTTGAGAGCATGGATCATATGCCTTGTTGGCAGTGTTGACACTTGACTTAAAGATTGTCATCATTCAAATCGTCATCATTTGCCAAGTTTGCTGCAGTGCATTCTAGGGCAGACCTTATCACATTAAGATCCTAGTAGATCCAAGACTATGATAATAATGGTCAATTTCTTCCTTTATGTCTAATGGATTCTAAGAAGTTCATTTTGAAGCATCTATAAGTCGTTCAGGCCAAAATTAGCTTTATTGCGATGGCCAATTAATTGACTGTAGCATACTTGACCCTAACTTGATCACTCTAGCCATAGACCAGTTTAAGTAGATTCTATGCAAATAATAGCATGTCCTTCGGTTTAACATCGATCAACCACCCTCATCAGCAACGGTTTCTTGAAGTATTCTTTGTTTTAAATGGCCTCAACTAGTTTAATTATAAAGACTCACGGTGATAGGAGTGAGTTCCAGGTGGCAATATCTTCCGTCAGGATTGATCACATCGAGCCTCCTTGTGATGATCATGTCTCTCAAAAGGATGAGCTCCCAGTTAACCAAGGAAGCATCTCAATGGTTCCGTCCATCAGGTTGGGCTTCCTCTCTCCTCAAAGTATGAGATAACCTTTTCTTGGTCTGTTGCCTTTCAGTTCACATGGTTGTGGAAGCACTGACGCCATGATTATTCTCTGTGACACCGTGGGTATTCATTAGCTCCAACAACTAGCCTAGGGTTTTTTGCAACTGAAGAATGAGAGCATATTTGAATTGACTTTCTCGGTGGCTTTGAGCCAAAACCACATAAGTGACAATTTGCTTGAGATTTTTGACTTTCCAACATCTTCTGTTGTAGCATGTGATGAAGGTCGCTAAAGACTTATTAGGATCTGGTACCGCGATTTGATTTACTTACTTTGTGTATATCTTCTTTAATATCAGTCATTGACAAAGGTGCCAAAAACTTGACCCCTTTTCCGTGTTGATAATATAATTTTATGTTTTTATAGCGGTTTCTCCTAGTGACGTAAGTATTAAAATTTCTAATTATTGATTTCAAAGTTTCTCTAGGATTGAAATACATGTGCATGTATCGTTCAAGTAATTATAGAATTTTCTTTTAAACCCCCAGTACCGATCCCACAGGGAAGGTGAAAATTGTTTTTATGACTTCGTAGAACTTTACTTAAACTCAAGGCAATTATCTATGAAGTCGCAAGTTTATGCGTAAAAAGAAGAAACTAATTCCTACTAATTCAGTTTCAAAACTTAAAGAAAATATTAAGTGTTTCTAAACTAACTTTACGTAGAAGTGTTCAAATTATATGAAAGTCTTATCCCTTGTAATGAGATTATAATTAGTGAAGGAATTAAATGTTTAAAGTTTAAATGTGGTATTGTGATAAATATGAGCATACATATTCTTTACCCTCTTTCAGTGCTTGCAAAGAACATTAGTTAACATAGAGTTTCTCATCAGCTTGTATAGTAGTGCTGAGTAGATTTTGGCCTCTCACTTCCAGACTACCCACTGTGCCCTCTCTATAGGACCTACAAGAGACCCTTACGATCAAAAATCTAAACCAAATTGATAAAAGAATCTAGTATACCACCCTAGAAACATCAATTCTACACTCATCAAAACTTATCTCCCTATTTATTTGTCCTTATCATCTACTAGATTAATGTGATTCTCACTAGTTGAGGAATACATATCTTATCATCTACTAGATTAATGTGATTCTTACTAGTTGAGGAATACATAACCCTCCCGGGTCATTATGATTTTACAACAAGTTTTAACATATCAATTGACCAGATTGAATATGTAAATCTGTCATTTCTAGATTACCCACTGTTCCCTCTATTTAATGTAGCCTTAATTTTCAAACTTTAGATCAAATTGGTTAAGATTCTAGTTTGTACCATAGAATCACCAATTTACATACATCAAAACTTATCTCCTTATCTATTTGCACTAACTTATAGACTATCTTATCATCTACTAGATTAATGTGATTCTTACTAGTTGAGGAATACATAACCCTCCCGGGTCATTATGATTTTACAACAAGTTTTAACATATCAATTGACCAGATTGAATATGTAAATTAAGTACAAATTAATGAATCATCACAAGTATGAAATAAGAGAAATCTCAAACAATTTTAATTCTACATATCATTATTTTTTATTGCAAGGAGAAATATAAAGAGAACAACTCAGACTTCATGAAGTTAACACAATAAAACATAATTTATATTCAAATTCAAGTTTGCATAATAAAGCAGAACTAAAAAAAAAAAAATACAAAGTACTTATCTTAGACTCCTTCCCAAACAAATCTTGAAGTTCTTTTAAAGTATTCTCCAAGTTCTTCTTACACACTCACAATAATAGACTCAACACATGAGACACTCTTGGACACACACTCCTTACGCGACAACAACCCCTCACAACAGGTCTTCACAACCCCGCCCCACACACATCCCCAAAACTCAAAGACTCCAAAGACTTTTTGTTGGCCTCTCTTGACTCCATTTATGACAATTCTCGAAATCCCTAAAAGTCACTTCAGATGCCCTTTCAAAATTCGTTCAAATACATTGCATATTGGCAAAAACTAATTCTAGAGCCTAGGCGTTCAACTGGGGCTTCTAGGCGCCCAACTGTGGTGTCTAGGCACCAACTTTCTAGAAGCCCAATATAACTGCCTGGCGCCTAGGTACCAGATCCTGGCGTCGGGCTCTCTGTTTCACGTACAGGGTCTAGCGCTAGAAGGTGGCGCCTAGGCGCCAGAAGGTGGTGTCTAGGCTAATTAACTTTGTGATCCTTTGCGCCATTTGACCCCATTTTACTTCGTTTTCGCTCTTCTTCTCCAAAACTTCATCTCTTGTATCTGTAGAAAAAAAACAAGCAAAATACCTTCCATTAAAATACATTATCATTAAAAATGAGCATAACATGTATAAAAAAAACTAGCACATTTTTAGGTATGTCAATTCATCCAAACTTAAACGTTATTTGTTCTTAAATAAGTCTTCAATTTATATAATGAATGCTTTAACTTATGGCAGTGAATTTCATTAAAGATTCCTAAAGTTTTGCCCCGTAAATGTGATAACGAAATTTTCATACAGATTTTCAATAACTCAGGTTAGAATTAGGGTATAAGAGTATCTAGTAATCATGTTAGAAATTTTGATTTTCTATTTATTTCAAAAATAATTTAATTTGTCACACTTAGGAATCCTAAAAGAGTTAAAAAACAATTATATCAGAACTTCATTAGAAAAGATTTGACTTATACATTTAGAATTGATAATAAGCTCAAAATTGTAATTAAGTTTCTTCCTTGCAGATGTTTCAAATGAAGCTAATTCTTAGTTAGACATCTCCTCAAGTTTTTTCTCACATATTTTTTACTTTTTCATTTTCTTTTTATTTTCTTTTCATTTTCTTTTCTTTCAAGATTGTTTTAATCTTTATTATTTTTTTATGGGAGGATTACTATTTAATGATTTTAAACTTCACTATCCTCCTCCTAAAATTTAAAATTTTTCACATAATGTGTATTAGTATAAACATAATTTTTCATAGAGTCTCAATTCATTTTGAAGTTTAAATCCAAGATTCGTAGTATTTCAAAAATATAAATTTTTTCCCACTATAAATAGTAAAAGTATCTCTATTCTTTTATACCAAATATTTTTAACTCTAGAAGTATCCCTTATTACCAAAAATTTTTATTTGAGTCTACTATAACATTCATAGGATTAAAAAATATAGTTCTTTAAAGATAACACCACATAACATAGGTTATTTCAAAATAATTTTTAACTATGGCGTATTGAGGACAAATAAAACTTAGTTTTTAAAAGTTTTTATCCTTTCCCTAAACTTAAATTTTTAAATAATTTTATACATTTTAGTACAAAATAAATATGAAGAGATAAAAATTTAACAAAATTATTATCTATCACAGGGTTCTAAACATGAAAATTGTACATGTACAAGAAGTAAAAATAGGTGCTTAGTAGTAGTAAATCTCAAATCAACATTTATAGCATGAAAATTTCAAAGTAAAAGAACTACTCTAACACAGACAATACTATATATGATCTAGAGCGAAAAGTAAACAGTAGTGCGGTAACAACTAAAAAACCAGAATTCATATCAACAATAAGCATAAAAATGCAATGTTCAACACAATAAAAAACTAAAATTCAGCAACAACTAGGGAAAGTAAACACATCCAAACTCAGAATAACTACTCATTCTCATTATCATCATCCTCATCATCTTCTTCATCATTATATTCTTCATCCATAGCCTTTCGGCGTTCAAACATAGGGTTATAAGGATACGAAAGAAACTCGACACTCTAATCTCTTCTTAGAAAGCTTACCAGAGAAGTATTGAAACGAGCCTCATAATCACTTTTCCTTTTCAGATATTGTTCTAAATGTTCCCAATGATCTTCATTCTCTTGCAGTTGACTCTGCACAAAAGAAATATCATCCTGATGCTCTTCATAGAGATCACAAATTTCTTCCCAAATAGCAGGAGGTGGAGCAACAACACTAGAGGTAGAAGGTCTAGAAGTAGAGGTAGAAGGAATATATGAAGATTGGCCTATAGATCCAAGTGTAGCATGCTTTTCATATAAATTCACATTAGCCTTACCCAATAGGCTTTAGTGGTTGTAATATCTCCTCCCAAGCTTCAAAATCAACTTCAGATTGTTTACATTTAGTAAAGATGAGATAAGGGTAACTCAAAACTGCAGTAGAACCTCCCGTCGTAGAACTAATAATATTCTTGTAAATGAGAGAGCCAATATCTATATGTTTCAT